TTTNTTTATTATTATTATTATATATATATATATAGTAGTATATATATATATATATATATATATATATATTTTTATTTAAAATTTTATCTTTAAGTTTATTTTTTTAAATATATTAAATATATTTATTTTTATTATATTATTTATTTTTATTTAAGAGTTATTATAAATCTTTAAATATTATTAATCTAATAACTAAATATTGTCTAAAAAATAAACTTAAAAAAAATAAAAATATTAAATTAATGTATTTAAAAATATTAAAAGATAGTTAAATTTATAAATTATTTTTTGTAAAATATATATTAATATATTAATTTTTTAAGATAAATTTATAAATAAAAAAATATTAAAAAAATCATAATTTATATATAATTCATTTTAAAAGATATTACAATATATTAAATAAATTTTTAATATTTTATTTATTATTTTTAATAATTAACTAAATATAATTATTTATATCTTATATAAATTAAAATTAATAATAAAAAATATCATATTAATTAATGCTTTCATTTAAATATTTAACAAATTATTTAAACTAGTAAAAAATAAATATAAATTATACAAAATTAATATCCTTATTATTTAAAAATTCATTTAATAATTTTAAGTTCTTTAAGCAATTATTAATAGCATATTTCTTCTTCTTCATTTTATTTTTAAAATTCTTTTTAAATTTAGATTATTCCAGTAAATTATTTTTCGATTTTTTTTTTTCTTTTGTCTAAAATTATTTTAAATAATTATGATTAACTATGTTTATATTTTTTAAATCTATATTTTACGAATAAATATTTTTTTTTCTTCTTCTTTTAGTTATTAAGAAAAAAACCTCATATTTCTTCCGGAATCTTAATCTTAATTTAAAATAGATTGTTATTAATTTAAGATATTATAAGGTTTATATTTTTTGTAGTTTAAGGTATGCTTTTTTATAATAATTTTATTGCTTTATTATTTTATATTTATTTAGGCATTTTCTTCATTATTACTGTTATTTGTTGATTAAGATGAAACAGGTAAAAGTTTTTATCTTAAAATTATTTTATTATTTATATTTTTGCAGGCTAACATTAAAAACTTACTATCATTTTTATATTCTTACTAATACAACATTTTCTTTTTTTAGAATTTTATATTTATTTATTAAAATATATATGATTTATATAATAATATTTATAATTTTTTATTAAATTTGTGCTAATTTTTTATACATTTTTAATTTAGTTAATATAGATATATTTATTTTTATTTCAAAAACGTAAAAGTATATAAAAGAATGAGAATACTATATTTATTAAATAATTAAATTATTTTTTACCTTTTCATATAAAAATTCGATATTTAAATAATTTTTTTATATTTAACTGTTATATCTATTCTAATTATAATAATATTATGTTATAAGTAAAAGGATATTATTTTTCTTTAATATCGTTCATTATATAATAAATTCATATTATTAATTTCTTATTAATAAAATTGAATATACTCTAATAAAATAATATATTTTTCTTTTTTTCTTTTATTATATAAGTAATAAATTACAAGCAATAATTAAATGCATTTATTTATAAAATTATTAGAAAAAAAAAAAATTAGTATAATTTAAATATTTTTGTTTCTAAACTGATATAAATAATCTTTTTATATAGATTTAATATATCCGAAAAAAAATAGTTTATTCTAATATGCAAAATTCTGATTAAAGAAAATAAAATTATTTATATTTAAATGTTTTTTTTTATAAAAAAAAATAAGTTTATTTTTTTAGATTTATACTATTTATTAATAAATATAGATTTTTTGTTAAAAATAAAAATAAAATTATTTTAATTAAAAATAAAAATAAAATAACATTGTAAAATTTTTTTAAATTTTCCATTTTTATTTTTTTCCTATAAATTTTTTATATTTATAATTATTAATTAATAAATAGAAATGAGTTTTGATCTATTAATTTATTAAGTAAAATATTATTTATTAATATTCTTAATTTCTGTCTAATATATCTAAATATGATTAGATATTAAGATTAATAAAGTAATATAAATAGTATAAAATTAAAATATATAATTAATTAAAAAGCAAAGTAAGTATGTATAAGCAAAGTTTTTTATTATTTTTTTGGAGAAATTCGTTGCTATATTTTATTAAAAATTTAAATAAAAAAATAACTTTTTATATTTCAAAAATAATACATTTACCAATTAAAATAAGAAAAATAAAAAAAAAAAAAATTTACAAAATAATAATAAAAGTAAAAAATAAAAAATAAAAAAAAAAGGCAAATAAATTTAAAAAAAAAAAAAAAGAAAAATAAAAGAAAATTAAAATAATAATAATAATAAAAAATGAATATACAAAAAACAGGATATTAAAACAACTAAAACTAATATGAATATGAAGACGACCTTTAAGATTATCAAAACGAAAACTTACATTAGTAATAATATTAATAAGATCATGATTATATATAGTAACTTCGTCAATATTAATAATAGAATTTATTACAAAAACAAAATATGCACTACCATAATGAACCATAAGATTAATTTTAGCCAATACAGGAAGAAGACGAGAACATAATAGACCATAAAACAAACTAAAAATATGATTAATAGCAATAATAATAAATTAGTTCTCCAAGTAAATCGTCAAAGGAAGTATTAAAACGAGTATTTGATGATAATTAATATTACAATTTAAGATCGAATAATAAAGATGAACAGATGAGTTAAATAGCATATAATTTATCAAAAATAAACATTTAAAATAACGAGAATATAAATTAAAATTAAGAAGAAGAAGTAGAAGAAGAAGAAGAAGAAGAAAACAACAATAATTAAGAAGAATAAGATTAAGAAAAAATAAACTAAGAAAATATAGATTTAAATTTATTCGATCAATGCTATAAAATTTTCCTTTAGAAAATTGCGGCAGATTAAAATTTTGTAAATGCTTCTTATGAATAAAAAATAGATATTTTAATTAAATTTTTTTAAGATGAAAATCTTGATTTTAGACTAGGATCGTTAATCTTTTTATTTGAACTTATTTATAATTTTAGAGATTCTCTTACTGAATAAGCCATTATTCTTATTCTTACTTAAATTTATTTTAATATTCCGCTTTATTATGAATAAAAAGATTTCTATATGGTATATTCTTCATTAGAAATTATAGGTTTATTTTATATTTTTAATTAAATATTATAAATATATATATTTTTATATAAATTAATAATATATATATATATATATATATATATATATTTATTAAATAATATATATTTTATATAAAAGCTCTTATTGGTCCTCATAATATATCTTATAATAATATTAAGCTTTTAGCATCTATTTTAATTGATGAAGCATTACCTGTTTTACAAGATAAAGCTTTTTTGGCTTTAATAAATTTAGATTATCCTGGATTTTATGCATTACTAGATATTGCAAATAAAGATTTTAATGACATTCCTCTTTACATATAAAACAAATTTGCCTAAACTGAAGAAATATAACTATTAGTAATCATACCATCATTACTAAATGATATAAATACAGGTGATATGAAAAAAAAAATATAATCTTTATGCGCATTAAATAGAATGTATTCATTAATATATAAAGCTAGTAAAAAAATATATAAATAATATAAAAATATAAATAAATTAAAAATAAAATAGACGGTTTACCACTTTTAGTTAATATTTTAAATGAAGGAAATATTGATAGATAATTAATAGTATCTGTAATAAGAGCTTGTGGTGAAATAGGTGAATAGACATTACTAAAAATACTAAAAAGTAGTCCTAATTATAAAATAAAAATCGCCATAACAACCGTTTTAAGTTGGCGAGTATAAAAATAAGAAAAAAACAAATTAAAAATAAAAATAGTACCATATAGTGTTGCTTAACACTATAATGTAAATCCTGGTACTATGTGTATTTATATTGGTGATTAAACCCCTTTAGCATTTATAGATTAAATAGAAAATAATTAAGAATAGGAAGAATATGAAGAACCGTATATAGAAATTAATACAAGGGATTTTATGGCTGCATTATAAAGATTAATGGCTATTAAGTATGATAAGTTTTAAAGAGAATTCGATGATCATTAATAAATGCATGATTATTCATAATTTATTAATTAGTTTACTTTAGCAAAACTTATTGATCCCTTGATTTCGTAGCAAGAATAAAATGAAGATGTGCCCTCAATCTCACTAAATATTATTAAGTGTTTATGTAACCTCATAAACGAAGAAAATCATTAAGTTAGGGAAGCTGCAGTTAATACTTTGGGACTTATAGGTCTTCCGGAAGCTAAATAAGCAATAGAACCTCTATATAATGCTTTGAATGATCCAGAAAGTTAAGTCAGAGCAATGTCAGCTTGGTGTTTGGGTAGATTAGGGGAAGCTAATCCTCTTAAAGTAGCTAAAAGATTGATTAATTTACTAAAAGATAATTATTGGAAAGTTAGAACAGCAGCATGTGTTTCTTTAGGATCTATAGGTCATAATATATAAAATATAGCCTTTCCAGCACTGACTAAAGCTCTTAGAGACGGAACTATAAATAAATTAACTATTTGTGAAACACTCGTTAGATTAGGAGTTTATGGAGAGTAAATATTAATTGATTTACTAAAAAATGTGCCTTAGAGTAATTTTAAACTAAAAACAGCGATTATTTAATCTTTTGAAATAGCAAATGTTTAAAGTCCAAGAATTGATTTTATAATTGAAGAATTATTTAGAAATGCAAGGTAAAGTTTTATTTATATATAGTTTTTTAAAAAAATATATAAACATATATACATATATAATATAATATAAATTTATATAAATATATATTTTTATATTTTTTATTATATATATATATATTTTTTTTTATATATCATAGTGATTAAATGATTGAAGTTAGAAAAGCTTGTTTATAAACTTTAGAAGTTTTAAGAAATAGAGCTTAAGATTCTAATATTACTTATCTTAAATCTAGAAATGTACTTCCTTTATTTTATTTCTTCTTATAAGATTCTTCTTCTGAAATTAGAAAAGTATTTTTATTATTTTATTTTATATAATAAATATTTTTATATTTTTTTACTGTAGATTGCAATCGAAAGTATTTAAAGTTATGGACCATAAGCTGAACTTATGTTTATTGAGGGTTTAACAAAAGATAAAAATCATATTATTAGGAGTGAATGTGCAAAAGGTTTAGGTTAATTAGGAGTTTAGAATTTTAGAGCTTTATTGTTTGGATTAAGGGATGCTAATTAGAATGTAAGAAGGTACAAAAAATATATAAAAATGCATATTTTTATTTATATATATATAGATAAACATCGTTAGCTATAACTTAAAATTTTTAACCTGAAATGATTATAGAAGAATTTGCTTAAAAAGTGAATCAAATTCCGGCTTTATTATGTAATATTAAAGATATTTTAAGTCTCCCATTTATGTTAGATTAAGAATGCAAAAATATTCTGGAATTTGTATTATAAGCTTTTGGGGAAAGTCCTCCTGAAAATTAAAATTAATAATATTCACAATAATAATAGGTTTGAGTTCATAATAAATTATTTAATAATAGTACGGGGATAAATAATTATAATAATAATATTAATAATAGTATACTTAGTTTTAACCTCCTAATTATATTCCAGCTTAAAAATTACCTAAAAATATTCCAAATATGAGAGGAGGTATGCCTGCCTATACTTATTTTAAACCTTAAAATTAATAGTAAATTGATAATAGAATTGCTTGAATATTTATTTTTATTAAATAGATATATATATTCATTATTAATAGATTATTTATATAAATATATTTTTTTTTTTTATTTTCCCCCCCACACCTCTCTCTTCCATTTTTTTTATTTTGTTAAAATAATTTAAATTTTTTTTTTAATATTAATTAATTTAAATTATTTATAATAATATTTTATTGTTTATGTTGTATTAAAATAATATACATTTTATATTAAATTATTTATTTTATACCTTTTAAAATTTATTTTTATTAAATAAACTGAAATAATATATAAAATTTAAACTATTCCATAATAATTATTATATATAAATAAAATATATACCTTTATATAATTAACATAAAAGCATTTTATAAAAAATAAAACCTATATTTAAATCTACAAAAATTATCATCTTCAAATATAAAAAAAATACTTATGATAATATAATTATTTTATTTATATATTATAAATAAACCAAAAAATAAATAAATCATTGTATATGAAATTATTAAAATAATGCAATTATTTAATTTTTTGACTTCAAAAATATTGAATATCAGCCGGGTGGCGCAATGGTAGCGCAGCAGACTTCTAATCTGAAGGTTGTGGGTTCGAGTCCCACCCTGGTTGTCAATTTTTGTTTTTTATTTACAATCCTTTAATTTTTTATTTATATAGATATAAAAATTATTAATATTAAATTTTATTATTATTACATAATTTTACAAGTAAAAATAAAAGTATATAAAAAAAAATATGTATAAAGGAAAATATTCAATAATGAAACAAATTTTCCAAACGTTATGGCTGTGATTATATTTTAGAAAAATATATCGAATTTTTTCAAAAACACAACTAAAGAAATAAAAAAAATCCAAACTGAAAATTACAATTTAATGAACGTAATTTGAAAAGGCTCTTATGTAAAATTAGTTCTCTTATAAAAGAATAATTATAATAAAATATATACACATTTAAAATTTTTAAAAAGAAATCAATAATTTTTAAAAAAAATTAAATTGAATATATAGAAACAGAAAAAAGAATACTAGTAAATGTAGACCATATCTTTATATTAAAACTCATTTATAATGAAGAAAATATAAGGAAAAAAATGATAAAAAATAATTATATAATTATATATATATATATTTATATTTTAAATATTTTTAGATTTTTTTTTATAATAAATTTAATTTTAGAAATAAAATATATATATATATATATATTATATATATATATATATATATATATATATATTATAAATAATTAAAATTAAAAAATAACAATTTTTTATATAATTAAAAATACAAAATAAAACTTTTTTATTTATAAAAATTTATTTTTATAGATTTAGTTATCTTTTTTAACAAAAAGCATTTTATTTTATTATAAATAAAAGCGTATATTTAAAAATAAAATGAAAGTTTCCTCGACTTTAAAAGTAACAAATATAATTAATTTTTAATTTAAACAAATTAAAATAGATGGAGGAAAAAAATAATTTTTAATAAAAAATAAAAAATTAAGAAATCTAATTAACTGATTCTATATAAATTAAAGATAATTTAAAAACATAACCTATTGAAAAATTATAAAAAGCTTAAAATAAATATAGAATGATGAATATATAAACTGAAATGGATAAATTAAAAAAAGATTTAAGATTGATAATTGTATGTATTATTTATTTTAATATTTATATAAAAAAATAAAAAAGAATAATTTAAATTAAATAAAAACTGAGAAAACAAAGTTAAAACTAATATAAATTAAATAAATGAATAAAACTAAGAAAATAATTAATCTAAAAATAAAAAATTATATAAAAGCTTATAAAATACTATCAAAAAAGATTTAATTAATAATAATTAATTAGAATAATAAACATTAGAGAATGATTTAAATTAATAAAAAATAACAATAAAATTATAATAATAAAAACATTAAATGATTTATTACATTTAATTAATAAATAATAAAAAAATCTGTATAAAAATATTAATAATCTCCTTATAAAATTTGTAATAATATAAATAATTAAAAAATATAACAATAAATATAACAATAAATATAATAATAATAATAATAATAATAATAATAATAATAATAATAACTTTTTTCTAAAAGTAACAATTATATATTTTAAAATAACTAACAATTTTCTTCATTAAATTAATTATTATCATAAAAAAATAAAAAATATGACATAATATAAAGTCCTTTTTAAAATTAATATTTGACTAATTAAACTTCTTTTTTTAATAATAATTATAATTAAGATTTTGCTTCAACTTTTTGTAAAGATAAAATTATTTATAATTAAATCCCTTATGAAAATTAAGTTTTATCTAATTTAGATTAAATTTCTAATAAAGATTAAATTATTCAATATTAAGATTAAATTTCTAACAAAAATTTTTAAATTTCTAGCAATAATTTTTAAATATCTAATAAAAATTATATTTCTTCATTTCTTAATACTAATTCTCCGTACTTAACAGAAAAAAAATTAATTAAGAATTAATAGTATTCATATTTAAATAAATATACTTCTAGATAATAATAAAGTTCTCCATAATATTAATAATTTAATACTTATAATAGTTTATAGTCTTATTTTTAATCTAATAAAACAAATGTCTAATAAAATTAAAACGAATATAAGTATAATTTAGTATATTTAAGTGATAAAAAAAGAGAAAGTAAATTAAATTAATAAGAAAAAGTTTAACTTATAAATGAATATGAATAGGAAATATAAGAATTATAAATAAAGCTTGCATAAATAAAAGAAAAATATCATAAAGAGAAAAAAAGAAAGACCTATATTTAATAAAAAAAAGTATAGATGCAATAAATCTAAAATTTTTAAATGAAAATTCCCCTTTAGAATAATATATCTGAAATAAATTTAAATGAAAAACATTTAAGTGGAAATTAAAAATATTAAATTGAAAATTAAAAATATTTAAATGAAAAAGATTAAAGAGAAAATTAAAAATATTAAACTGAAATAATTTAAAATGAAAAAATTAAAAAAGAAAATAATTAAAGTAAATAAAATGAAGTTTATGAAAAATAAATTGGAAAAAATGATTGTTTTTAAGACGAATTAAATAATAATTAATAAAAATCTTAAGAAAACTCTATAATTAATTTTTCGAAAATTTCATAATAATCAAGAAGATAAGAAAATATTAGTCTAAAAAAAAGTTAATAAGAATAAATGGATTAGTTTAATTATAAAAAAAAATAAGAAATATAATAAGATTCTATTATAGAAAAATATGATATAACTTATGATTATCAAAAATAATAATAATAAGAAATATAACAATAATATTAAAAATAATAAGAACAATAAAAATAATAATAATATAATTAAGAAAAATTATAAAAATAGAATAAATAACAAAACTAAAAATAATTATAAATATAAGAATAATAATTAAAATTAGATTAATTATAAAAATAAGAATAATTTTAAATATAAAATTCAAAAAATAAAGAATAGTAAGAAATTTAAAATTAATAATTATAAATATAAGAATAATATTAATAAGATTATAATAATAACATTTCTTCTTCTTCATAATTATCTAATTAATCTTCTTTTTTAAATTAAGAAGAAGAGCAAATTAATTCTTTGCAATAATAGAAAATATTTAATACAATTTAAGAAGAATAATCAAATATGTTACAGTCTTCGTATGAATTAAAAACTCCTGTATTAAATATTTATTTAAATAAAAATAAGCCTATTATATAGAGTATGTTTTCAAAAAGTAGTTCTTCTAAAAAAATAAATGAATAAGAAATAAAACTCGAAAAAATAAATTAAGAATTAATCAATGATTCAGTTTAAAATAAAAAAAAATAAAACAAAGAATGTATTTAAAAAGAAATATGTAATTCGTCTTTAAAAAAAGAGATTTTACCAATTGGATAAGAAGATGAGGAATTTTTTCAAGCAGAAAAAATTAAATTTATAAAAATAAACTCAATAAGTAATAATATTTCTAAATAGGAAATATAAAAATCCGAAAAATAAAATTAATAAGAAAATGCAGAAAAAAGAATAGAAGAAAAAATACATAAAAAAATAGAAGAAAAAATTGAAGAATAAATTGAAGAAAAAATTGAAGAAAAAATTTAAGAAAAAATTGAAGAAAAAATTTAAGAAAAAATTTAAGAAAAAAAAGAAAACTTAGAGAAAGAAGAAGAGGAAGAAAATGCTTTAGAATAAATACTTTAATTAAATAAGAAATTAGAAAAAATTTAATAATGCAATAAAAATTCGATAATTGGAGATTCTTAGAAAGATTAATTTACTGATTTTTTAGATTTCGATTAATAAAAGGAAGGTTTTTCCAAGACTTCATTTACATAATTAGATAATATGATAATGAAAAAAAATGAAAAGTCACTAAGTTAAATTGAAATAAAAAAAATTAATCGAATGAATTTTCTTAAGAAAGCATCGAATATGAATTAATTAGTAAATAATTATTTTAAAATAATAAAGAATAATAGTAATAAAATTAATAATAATAATAAAATTAAAGTAAGAATTTATAAAAAAAAAAGTTTATTAGAGTTCTTATTTAAATAATAAAATTAAATAAAATTAAAAAAAAAATATTAATAAAGATACTATAATAAAAAATGAAGAAAAAAATTTGAAAAAAATATTATTTAAATTATTAATAATGATAATAAAAATAAATATTAAAAAAAAAAAATGAAATAGAATAAATAAAAAATAATAAATAATATTAAAAAAAATAAATATCTTTATAATGTAATAATAATCGACATCATTGTTTTTTTTTTTTTTAAAATATATATATATTATAATAATTATTAATAATATTTTTTTTTTTCTTATATTATATTAAAAATACATTTAATAAAAAACAAAAAGGAAATAAATTAAATAATACGCTATTTTAAAAATAATGTTATTCATAAAAATATATAAATTTAAATAAAATTAAAAAAATATATAAAATAAATATATGTATATATATATATAAATATATATATATATATATATATATATTTATATATATATTTATATCTACAATTTAATATATTAATACATCATTTTTTAAACGTTATAAAACAATAAAAAATTTGTCAATAAATATAAATATTATAGTTTTTACATTTAAAATATATATAAAACTAATTAGAAAATATAATTTTTTCTATCAATATATAATTCCTTTTTTAGGTTATTCTAAATCTTTAGGAGTAAATGCTCCTGGTAAAATTCCTTATAAATCAGTAATTTCATACTAATCTTATTCATTAGAGCAAATAATAATAGTTTTATCATCAGAAAATTCAGCAATAACTTAGCGACAAGCACCGCAAGGACTTCCTACTTTTATAGTATTACAATTTACTACTATTAGTTTAATCTTTTTTAAACCTTAACTTACTCCTGTAAAAATAGCATTTCTTTCTGCACAAATAGACAGTCCGTAAGATGCGTTCTCTACATTAACCCCTATGTATTTTTTATCGTTTTAATCTATTACTAAAGATCCTACATGGAATTTAGAATATGGAGCATATGAGTATTCCTCTTTTATTTAACGTACTTCATTTATATACTATTTTATTTATTCTTAATTATATTATGTTTATTAGAGTTATTTAAAACTTTATTACATTTTTGATAATAATATTAAATTATTATTTTATAAAAAAATTTAAAATTTAAAATTAATATTTAAATTAATATTATAATTTAAATTTATATTTATATTTACTATTCTTATTATTAATATTATTTATTACTCCTTTTATTATTTAATTTATTGTAAAAATATCCAAATTTAATTTTATATTTTAAAAATAAAAATTCAAAATTATTTTTTGTATATATAAAATTATATAATGATGCATTATTTTATATACTGTAACTTATTCGAATTCTTAAATATATAATTTTTATTTTTTTTTATATGAAAACAAAGCAAATTTAGATCGTTTTTTATATTATTATCAAATATTTTATTATTTTTTATTATATCATATTATATAATATACATTCATTAAAATATAAATATTCCTAATTTTTTTAAATATTTTTTTTTTAATTTTTTTTAATTAAAAAATAAAAATATTTTATTTTTTTTAATATTATTATTACATTTTATATTTAAAATATATTATATTATTTGTGAAATACGAAATTATTTTATTATTTATATACATTATATATTTTTAATTTTGTTTAAATAATTAAATTTTATAAAATACTATATTATAAAAAAGAATTAAAAATAATCACTAAAATATTAACAAAAAAAAAAAGACTATAAATATAGAAAATCAATTTTTTAAATAAAAAACATTTTAAATATAAAAAAGAAATCATTAATTAATAGTTTTTCCTGATTTAATAACACCCCAACCAATTAATCTAAACTTTTTATCAATTCTTCTTGAAAAAGCTACTTTTTCACCAATTTAAGTACAAATAGGAAGATTTAATTCTACCATCATAACATTCTAATTTAAATTAAAATTAATATAATTTGATAAAAAAAAAAATATTATAATAAAATCTATAAAAAGATATTAAAAAATATATATTTAAAAAATAAAATTAAACAAATTTAAATAAAATAAAATATATATAAAAAAAAAAAAAAATATTAAACAAAATAAAAAATATACCTCTTTAACTTCAACAACTCTTCCTGGAGTTTCAGTAGATCCAACATTAAATTTAAGAATTTCTTAAGTGATTTTTTAAATTCTATGAGTTCTAGAATCCCCTTCAACTTTCGCTCCAATTAATCTTTTCAAAAGATAATAATTGACTTCAATTTTAGTATAAATATCAGGTAATTTTCCCGGATATCCTAACACATTTCCTACCAATCTATCATTTCTAGTAATGGATGGATCCACTAGTAACCCGACACCAATAAGTCCTCCAGGTACAGCATAAAGTAATTCATTTTTTTCCGCTAATAAAGACACTACTCTGGACTTAATAGGTGTACATTTAACGTTATTATTTGCATCTTTATTAATTAGACCTGGTCTAATTTCTATTTCATCTCCTATTTTAAGTACTCCTTAAAGAATAGATCCTCCAACAACGCCTCCTTTCAACTTATTGACAGTCGCCCCCGGTTTATTGACATCAAAGGACCTAATAATGATTAATTTAGGTGGTACTTAAAGTTCTCTTAAAGGTACAGCAAAATAGGAGCAAATATACTAACATACAGCATCAACATTATATTTCAATTAAGCCGAACATGGTATAATAGGTGAGTTTTCAGCATTTGTTCCCAAAATGAAATTTTTAATTTCTTTATAATTATTCTAAGCAGCCTAAGGATCTTTGAAAATAACATCAACCTTATTCTATATGATTAAAATTTACTTCAATTTCATAATATCAACAGCAGCTAAATGCTCAGCAGTCTAAGGCTAGGGACAACTCATATTTCCTGCTATTATTAATAAAGCAGCATCCATTACAGCTGCTCCAGTTAACATTGTACTCATCAAAATATCATGACCGGGGCAATCTACGAATGATACATGACGAACTAATTCCATTATAGTTTCGCAGTTTTCATTAGGACATTTCGCATCGTCATTTTTGGAACTTTCGAATGATTTATAACATTCAGGAGATGGACATTTTGGACATTTAAATATTTTAGCGTTTGCATAACCTAAACGGATTGTAATGTTACGGACTTTCTCTTATTAAAATTTTACAGTACTATTTTTTTATTTTTTTTTATTTTTTTTTTTTGTTTTTATTACTGGACTCCGGATATGGCACGGACTAATGTTGATTTTCCGTGGGCAACATGACCTATAGTACCTTTTTTTTGATATTGATATTTATATATATATATTCTTATTTATTTTTCTAGTTACCAATGTTTATTGTTGCTTAACGAGATATAACTTCAGGCGAAAGAGTTGATAAATTGGGAATTTGATCGTAAGTTTAAACTTTCAAGTGAGGATTTCTTTACATTAATTCCTCTATTTCTTTTTATTGTAATCTATTATCTGTCATTTGTTGATTTGTTGATTTTTTTCTATTTTTATTTTTGATATTTTTTTTTTAGTTTATTTTATTAAAAATAAAGAATTATATTTATAAAAATAAAGTTGTTCTTTGTAAATAATAATATAATAAATTTATATTATATATTTTTATATTCTTTTTATATTATTTATATTAATATAAATAATAAATTAAATTTTTTTCATCAACTTTTTAAAAAATGTTGAATGGTTTTTATATCTTTATTTCATTTTCTACTAGATTATTAAGTTTATTATTTAGTTTATTTATTTTATTAGTCAAAAGTAATTTTATTACTTTTATTTCCAATTTATTATTTTTAAATAGCACTTTTAAATTCAACGACTTTACGTTTGACAGATAGTTTCTAAGTTTCTTTAACTTTTAATTTTGGTTTATTTGCATTAAATAATTATTAGTCTTATTATTTATTTTAATTATTATTATCTTTTATCTAATCTTTAATTAAATTATTATTATATTCTTCAACTTATTCAACATGTAATTGCTAATTTTCCAAAACGTTATTAATTTAAACTGCTTTTATTTATTAAATTTTATTTTATTATATTTTATTTTCATTTTCATTATCAATTTATTTTATTATTTATTCATATTCTTTATTTATGTTATTTTAATCAATTTTTTATTTTTCTATTTGTTCTATTTATTCTTTTTTAACTTTATTTTCTATTTATTCTTATTTTTCCTGTTTTTCCTGTTTTTCCTGTTTTTCCTGTTTTTCCTGTTTTTCCTGTTTTTCCTGTTTTTCCTGTTTTTCCTGTTTTTCCTGTTTTTCCTGTTTTTCCTGTTTTTCCTGTTTTTCCTGTTTTTCCTGTTTTTCCTGTTTTTCCTGTTTTTCCAGTTTTTCCTGCTTTTCCTGTTTTTCCAGTTTTTCCTGTTTTTTCTGTTTTTGATCTATTTCTTCTTTATCTTCTATATCTTCTTTATCGAAAGCAGATATAGATTTCGGATTCAAATAATTATTTTAATTTCGAACTAAACTTTTTGAGCCAAATAATTAGTCACTTTATTAATCATTTATTAATACTGATTATTGGATAATTAAATTTTATAATGTATGCGATTTTTTTTCCTATATTACATAAAAAATATTATTTATTATTTTATAAATAAAAAATTATAAACCTTATGCCTTAAATAAAATAAATATCCTATGATTCCAATTAAAGCAAATATTCCGAAAATTCCAAATATAATAAAAACTATTTATTTTGTATCAATATCATTGCTTTTTACTCTTTCTTCTAATTACAAACTAATTTCTATATAAAATATTTTGATATAAAAATAATATAATTATCATGAATATATAAATATATATATATATATTAATATTTATATACATTTTTTTATATTTTTTAATATATTTATATATACATATATATTTAATATTACCATCTATACATTCTGTTTCTGAATTACATCCATATATGCATCTTTAATTACAATCAATACACTATCCATTTTTATAAAATTAATTTTTGCTTGGACATTAGAAAATACACTTTCCATCACTAAGCACATATTAACTATTACATTTAGTACATACATTAATATCAATACACATAAAACATTCTTCTTCTTGATAGCATTTTTTACATTTTATATGGTCTGATTTACTTAAGCATTTTACGCATTAATTATTAGCATTAGGGTACATATATACTGGGCATTTTTTCAGACATTAATTTTCAAATAAAAAAAAATTACTAAAACATCCTGTACATATATTATTATTTGTAAAACATTACTAACAGTCTTATATACTACATTTTAAACAATTTTGATTTTTTAAAATTTCCTCTTAATTACATAAATTACATTTATTTTCAGATAAAACGTAGCCCTTTTAACATTAGGTACATGTTGCGAGATTATTTTCGCATTTAGTGCAATTTTTAGGTGTACATGTTTAACATGTTTGTATACTTTGTTCATCTCCTTAAGCACAATCAATACATTTTTATGAATTTTACTATTATTATTTTGAGCCTTTTGGACACTAATTGATATAGCAAATTCCTTTATATAAGTAATATCCAGGTATGCATTTTTCACATATTTATATGTCTGTAGAACATTTAATGCATATTCCTTTGTTTGCACAATTTTAACATCCTGGGAATCTTCTATCGTCTCCTGGCATACATTAGAAGCATCTATTGTTTAAAGGATAAGTATTTTCAGGACATTTACCATAACATTTATCTTCTAGTGGATAGTAAAATTAATCTGCAGGACATCTTTGTAATGTATAAGCGATAAAAGTAAAAAAATAAGTAGAAGGAGATATATTTTTTACATATTATTTTTATTTATATAATTTTTAAATGTAATTAATAAAAATCATAAAAAGAAATTAATTAATATTTAGTTTATTTATATTTAGATTGTTTAAATATATATATTTATATATATATATATATATATATATATATATATATATATGTATATTTATATAGTATTATTATTTTTATTTAATTATAATTTTAAATCTAAAAATAATATAACATTGCAATTTTGCTGCTTATTTATTTTTTATTATTAATTTTATAAAAAAGAAATAGAGAAAAAAATATTATAATTATATATATTTAATTATTTATTACATTATCAAATATTAAAATTTTAATTTTTAAATTAATCTTAATTATTACATTATTCACCATTAATCCATTAACCTTTAATAATAATTTTACCTTCATCACTAATAATTTTCCCTTATCCATGCATTTTTCCATTTTCCCACATTCCATTATAAGATATTCCATTTTACCGCGTAAATTATCCATACCCATCAAATTATAATCTTAATTAAAATATCATTAGATTTTTAAAAATAAATAAATTATATATTTATTATAATATAAAAACCTATATACTTTTTTCTATTTGGCCATGTAAATTCTCCTTTCCTTACATTTTATTATTTTTCCATTAACCTTTATATATTTTACCTGTTTACCATACACAAGTTCCATATCCTTCAATTTAATCGTTTATAAATTATCCATTATATATATAATTATTTAAAATTGTATAGTCTCCAATTCCATTCATTTTACCGTTTTCAAACTGACCTTTATAATTCATTCCTATGCTTGTAGATTCTTCTCCATATCCATATTTTTCTCCTTTTTTCATCTATCCGATGTATAATCCACTATCGATTTTTTTTAATATGCACTACCCGTCTAGCATTCCATTCTTAAAATAACCTTTAATATAATTTCCACAATCATTAATATAAAAACCTTCGCCATGAAAAATATTTTAATTCCAAAAACCATCATAAAAACTATTATTTTTACATAGTAGTATACCAAAGCCATTTCTAACATCTTATAAAGTATTTCCTATATAGTAGTCTTAAGTTCCATTTAGTAAATAAACATTCTCATTTTATTTTAATAAAGTAAATAATCTCTAATTTATATTAATATCGTTTATTGCTTAATTTAATATATTTAATATCTATTATTCAAAATTTAAGAATTATTATATTAAAAAATTTACAATTTCTGGTAATTTGTATTAAAATTTCTATGTATAAAATATTTAGTATGTGATTATATTATTTTATATATATAAATATTAATATATATGTATTATATTTAATTTTTTATTTTTTATAATTTTTTGTTTTTAATTTTATTAACTCAAACAAAAAAAATAAAGTTTTTAATTCGATTTTTTTAGCCTTTTTTTGTTTATTAATTTTTTTATTAAAAAAATTACAGATTACAAATTTAATAATTGTATATATTTTTGTATTTAAATACTTTAAACTATTTATTTCTATATTATATGACTAAACATCAAATAATTAAAATTAATTATTATTCTATTTTAATAATTTATTAAATATTGTATGTGTATGAAAGGTATTTATACTTTCTGTAATTTCATTACAATTATTTTGCTAAATATTTTCTTATAAATAACTTGAATTTTAATTAATATTTTAAGGTTAACTAATAAATTCTTTTTATTTGTTTTCTTTACATTTTTTACAACAATCATTTCCCATATATTTTTATATATAAAAAAATATTTATTTATTTTGTTTTGCTATCTTTTTTTTATATAAGTTTTTATTAAATTTTATTAAAAACTTAGTTAAAAAATTATATTTTTACAGATTTTTTTATTATTATTTTTTATAATTATATTTAGATAATATATAAAATCTTTTATTTAATTTTTTTCAAGAAATAATAAATTAGATTTTTTTTTTTTAAATGAGGATAATATTTATTAATTTTTATAATTTATAAATAAATATTATTATTTAAAATTTATAAATAAAAAAGATATTTAAATTAAAAAAAAAATATACTATATTTTTTGTTATTTTTATAATTTAAATAAAAAAATATTTAAATTACATTGAAAAAATAATAAAATAAATAAAAAATTTATTAATGAAATATATATAAAGATTTTATTATTGAAAACAAGTAATAAATTAATTTTTTTTACATCAAATATATAAAAATTATTAAAAAAAAATTAATATATATTTTTTTTAATAGTATTTATTTTTATTTAAATAATAATATTTAAAGGAATATTAAATTATTTATTTAATATATAAATTATTATAATAAAAAAAAATATAGATATTATAAAAATAATATAAAATTTATTTATAAATATTATGAGATTATAAAAGATATAAAATTTAATTATAATAATTATCAAATAATTTTTTTAAAAAAATTAATCCAATACTATCATATCATAATTTTATAAATTTGTATTAAAACTTTTGAAAGTTATTAGTAATTTATAAATATTTTTTAGTTTATAAAAATATAATTAAACAATTTTAAAATATTATTAAGATATGTTTATTTCTTTTTTATAATAAATGAAAAGTATTTTAAAATTGTATAAATTATTTATAAATATAAATATATGAAATTTTAATTAATTATTTTAATATATAAATATATCTAATTATATTTTTAAAATTAAAATATAAAATATTTAAAAAATATAAATATATTATTAATAATAATTTTTAAAACAATTTATAAAAATATATCATATTTTATTTTATCAAAGTAATAATTAAAAAATATATCATATTTTTTTTTAATTAATAAAATTATTTGGTTTTTGAGTAAAAAAATTAATATAATTAAAAAGCAAAATTATATTGTATATTAAATAAATATAAAATTATATAAGTATAATCAAAAATAATAAAAAAAAATATTGCTAAAATTAATTAAATATAAAAATATATATATATATATTATAAAAATGAATATTTAAATAAATACTAATTGTTATAAATTTTCAAAATAATGTGATAGGTTTATATATTCTACATATGATGCAAATGTTTCAGTAAAATTAACAAATTAATTTAAAAATTAAATATATATAAATATATATAAATATATATATATATTATATATATTTTACGTATTAATATATTTATTTAAATAAATAAAATAGTATTGGAATTGTTAAACAGGAGTAGAATAAAAAATTAGTCTTTAAAAGCATTTTTATAATTAGCATATATAAACTTTTGATATATTAAAAGTAATAAATAAAGATTTTTAAATAAATTTTGTTTAAAATTATAGAAAAAAGCTAATGAAAATATTGCATTCGCTAGTTCGAACGGAAAATTAGTTATATATAAATTAAAAACTCAAGAATTTGTACAATTAAATAAAAGTAATTAAAAATTTATTAAAAATAAATATAAATATATATATATAAAAAAAATTAATTATATATATATATTTATTTATATATATATATATTTATATATATATATATATATATATAATTATTTTATATTATTTTATAGTATC